CATTTTGGTTGATAAAACGGATTTTTTAAATTAACGTGAAATCAATTTTGAAATTACGAAAAATCTTTTTCTGTGAAACCAAAATGTATAATTACTGTGAAAACATTTTAACATGTACAATGCGCAAAAAGATGAAAAACCCTGAATAACTTTTGATCTTTTAAATTAAGAAATCAGACACAAAAACGTGCCTTCTCTGAACAAACATACCTTTTTTCAACGGGTTTGGAGAATGTCTGACCTTTAAAATAAGAGGGGTAGCCGCAATTTGAAAAATATTGTCCCAATAGTTTAGTCAAAAGAGTGGTTGAAAGGTTGAACCCCTTAATGTTAATATTACTTTTCGCGTATTTTGCTGTATCTCGAGAGTTTTCTTAATAAATTAAAAAGAAAATTTTGTTCAAAAATTTAAATTTTGAAACAAAATAAGTAGAATAGTTCCGAAGGTATCAAATTTTAAAAATACGGTTTTTTAAAGTTTAAATTTGTTGAAAAAAAGAAGTAGTACGTTTTTGTGTCTGACTTCGTTACTTAAAACATCGCCTCTACTAATTAATTAGCATTTTTGAGGTTGTTTCCATAAAGAGTGAGTCCTAATGCGTGACAATCTGATCATTCAATCAAAAGTTATTCGAGGAGTACCATTTTTATTTTTATTTATTTATTTCACATTGTACTCAATAACATATAAACATATCTTCAAAAGGTAGGTTATAACACAAAGCAGCAAATGTAAAACAAATAAAGGTAAACGTTTGTTTAAAAACAAAAAAAAACTTTTCAACATTTCGTTTAAAATTATTTCAATTTGTATCTTTGAATGTTCTATAATTTCAGCGATATAAAAAAAATGCAATGAATAAAAACATGTTTCAAATTTGTAAGCTAATAATAAACATTAGAGCTTCGATGTTATATCATGTCATTTAAATCATACCTTTCAGAGAACAAAGGCCCTAAAATATTCAGAATAATAATAAGAAGAAAAAAACATTCATCAAATTCAAATCTCGAGAATAGCTTCAGGTGAAAAACCCAGTGATACTTAAAAGATATCAAAAAAATTTCTTTCTTTGAAATTACGATGGTAATGAGCTCACGTGCAGTTTTCATTACCAATCGCATATCAAAAAAGTAAATTTGCAAGGTCAGAATGCAGATAACTGTATTTGTTTCTGCTTACAGAACTAACGTGACAAAAACTGCTTTTGTTATTATACGTACAAAAAATAAACACAATAATGTTACTTTCATATATTTATATGATTTACATAATGTGATATTTTTGGTATGGTATTTATTATAGCTAATGTAAACATATTTGTCAATATATCTCCTCTACTTTCTTTTCATAACAAACAGACGGCATAAACAATCGGCTGTAAAAAAAACGTTTTGAAACAATCAGAATAAAACTCAGTTGTCTAGAACTTTAATCGAGCATTGCATTCTTTATCTGGTGAGAATCATCATTTTGTCTAAAAATATTTCACAAATCTAATTGTGCATTAAATTAGCTTCTTCTTTATAAAGTTGAGTTGTATTTCTTCAGCGTGCATTTAATACGAGTATGCAGTTAATATTGATGTAATGGAATGAAAAATTAAATGAATTGGAAGTATCAAAACTAGAGTTAGAATAAAAACATTGAGACTGACCCTGAAAAATAAAAATTTAAGTTTAGGATTTATTAAATTCTTATGACTCACAAAATTATTTTTAATTATTAACACTCAAATTTTTAATATTGCCATTTAAATCTGCATAGTTTAGAATGACATCAAACTTTTTGCTATCCAAAAACATTTCGAGTATTATTAAATTAAACAATGAAAAATGTACTAATTAGCTTTTAATATTTATTTTACATAAAATTATGTTTAGATAATGAATATTATAAATTTGCGAAATGAATTTCGATTCTCGAACTTTCTTTAAAATCTATAGTAAACATAACTAACCAAAAAAAAAACAGTAAGAGGTTCAAATTTCTGACTTGACTCCTGATTAAATTTACCCTCTTCAATGTTGTAACTTCTATGATATCTTAATCTCTAAAAACATAATCCGTTTGGAAGAACCTCAGATAAATTATGTTTTTGTATCTAATTTTGTAGTTTAAATTTTCGGCCGCGCTAGCTAATTACCATATTTCAAATGGCATCTCAAACTCTGGAGATATGCAAAATAAAGTGATTCGATCAAAAGTTTTTCAAGGCGTCATGTTTTATTTGATTATTCTATTTATTCTTAAAAAAATAAATAATGGTTTACCCTGAATAACTTTTGATCAAATGATCGGATCTTCGTTTTCTAGCAGGAGCAACCATACCTGGTCTCCCTCTTTTTTCTATATCCCCCCGACAACTTTATTGGCAGCATGGGAAGTCCGTACCACCATTGCATAAAAGTTAAGGATAGACACATTTCTTAATCAAATACTTTCCTTGTGTTTCCAAGACGGTTTTCTACATTAAACTGTGGTGTACTGTTTTCCCTGAGAAAGGATTTTTCTGACATATTTCTTTTTTTTGTTGTAAATCATGCTTTCGTTTGGATTGATCTAAATTTAGTACGGCAATAATCTCTTCCCAATTTCTCGTATCTCTGTCCATTAGTTTTAAATTAGAAATAAAAACGGGTTTTATGGTAACTTTAAGAGAAAAGTGTAATTAAGGGTAATATCAGCCATGATCTTTTCTACACTTTATTACACAATATTATGACTTAATTTGGACAAAAACATGGTTCGCGTTGTGCATGCAACAAATATATCTAGTGCCCCCAAAAAAAAAGAAAAAAAAAGACTGGACCACCCTGAATAACTTTTGATTTAATGATCTTCACTTTCTAGGACTCAATCTTAATTGCTCAAGGGTGTGACCTATGCACTTATGCTAATTAATAAGTGCAGCCACTATTTTAAATTAAGAAATCGGACACAGAAACAAACTTTCTCTGAATAAACGCATCTTTTTTTTCAACGGATTTGGATTTCTAACTCTCAAGTTGCAATCTGAAAAATATGGTTAAAATAGTTCAGACAGGACAGTGGTTTAATGTTTGAACCCCTTAATGTTAATTTTATTTGCACACAATCGTAAAATTCATTTATTCAAAAATATTTCCACTTAAAAAGTAACTTTCAGTAAACTTTTATTACTTTTCACTATTTTATTTAATAATTGTCAAAAACATTTTGAAATGCAAGAATTTTTGTACTCTATTTTAAGGAATGTAATTTTACATGGCAAAATACAAAATTTGAGAGAAATCAGTCGAATAGCTCCTGAGAAATTGAATTATTTTAAAATATCGTTATTCGTTAGTCGCGCTAGTTGTATTTTGCGCAATGGGCTCTATGAGCAATGAGCAAGTACAGTGAGCATTATGAAAAACTGAAACTATTAATTTTGAGACATATCAGGGTAGCCACTCCACAGAAAGAGCATGGAAAACCTGAAAAATACAGGGAATTTAAAAATCACCTAAAATGACAAGGAAAATACAGGGATTTTGATTTTTTCTTTACAAACTGGGAAAATGCAGGGAATTTTTTTTCTTATTTTTGTCTTTTAAAAAATTGTGACCACTCAAAGCGTAATCCATGGGATTTTTAACCATGATCTTTCAGCCATACTGAACTATTTCATTTACTATAGCATTATTTCAGTATGTGCAGCTGTTTTTACAGCAATTAAAACTAATAAATATAGTTAGCCCAATATAGCTCACACTAGAGCGCAGTAATTGTTGTTTCCTTTTAATATATTGTGTACAATATGTACAGGGAAAACACAGGGAATTTTTTTCCAGATTTGAGTGTCAACCCTGCATAAGTTTCACTTATAATACTTTACACTCTCAGAAAAAATGGTTCCCACACCCCACAGGGGGAAGGTGTAACTGGAAAATGGATGAAAATTAATCGTATATTGATAATAATATCTTTTTATGTTTCCATCATCTGAAAATTTTACCGGCTGCTTGGATAGATAAATTTTCTAATTATAAATATATTGATTTCCGAACTTGGATAATGTTCACAGATATATTTTCTGACTAATATTTTCAGTATACTTATCTTCTTGCTTACATGGCAAGTAACTGACTTTTTTCAGAATCTGTTACTTACCATGTAAGCAAGATGAAGAAGAACCCTTAGAAATACAAAATGTTCAGTTAAAACTTATTTTAATATGAAAGAAACAGTGTTATTGCTTTGTGAGGAAATAAAATGAAATATCTGTATGGAATCATTAGTGCAAGAGAACAATTGCTACTGATTCTATTTTCATATTTAAATGAATGTGTATTTAGTGCTGTAAATTATTTGCTACTAACAAAATCAGCTATCCTATCTGTAGCTATCCTATCTAGGGAAATGTAAAAGTTTACTAAGTTGGAACCTGCCTTAAAATCTTTTTAGTAGCAAGTGCAAGGATCCCACTAGTTTTAAATAATAATTACAAATAATTAAATAATGTAGTAAAATCCATCATTTAAATATCTGTTACTTCATTTTCAGTTACTTCATATTCAGTTATATATTATAATATTTGAAAATTTTTCTTGCCTGTTGTCTCAATAATTTCATAATTAATTTTTCATGAAACCTATATTTAATAAATGCTTCAAATTTTGAATACTAGAAGTTGTGTACATGTTAGATATCATTGATTCTAAAAAAAAATCGTTAAAATTCTATTTATGTGTATGTAAAAAAACGACATTACTTTCCGCACCCTTAATATCAAAAATTACTTTTGTTTTTGACGTTCAGAATGTACAATCAGTACATTCATGCAACAATAATTACTAGTTAAGTAATTCTATAAATTTCCTCATTTTCTCTTCAGGGAAATTAATTAGTTTTTTTCATAATTATTTCAGAACTCAAAGTTTTATTTCTGATGCATAATTTCTTTTTATTAGGATTATGTCCATAATAATACTAGTATGAAAATTTATATTAAAGTATAATTTTGTATTTATTTCAGTGCCAGAATATCAGATAGTCAATTTGCGAACAATATCTAAGCGAGATACCTCATCAGAAGACGTCAAACAGATTCATATGTCAGCATTTGGAAAGAAACTCCACCTTAATTTAAGAAAAAATTCAGATTTCGAACAAAGGATAAAGAAAATGAAAGTTCTCATGGCAGAAACAACTGGACCAGGTCAACTGAATTACCACGAGCCACAAGTACGTAATTTTATATTTTTTCGCAAAATTTAATTTTTGAAAAGAAAATAAGCTTAAAAAGCATTCTACTGAATAGAATGCTGTTTGCATAAGTTCTCTTTAATTGTTTCCTTAATAAATGATATTTTGCCATTATATTTTTTAATTTCACATGATTTTGCCGATGATATAAACTGATTTTATACCTCTCTTGAAACAAAAGTATGAAACTGTTCTAAGCAAAATCAATCTTTTTTCAAAGCACCTTTTATGCAGTTCCTTTTTTTAAAAAAAACACTACATTAAATTGCTTCATTTTATTATTAATTTCAAATACATTTATTATACACAATTAATTCTACTCAGTTTTAAAAATACTATCCAATATTTATTTGTAAAACAAGCCAAATTTCATTCCAAATATGAATGTTTGTTCGTTCCAAATATGAAATATTTCCATTTTCAACATTGAGTCATTAACTATTTCCGACATGCACGCATTGTTAAAATCAAATTCAGTCAACATCTACGTATTTCATAATTTAATCTGTTTTTAAAATATATCATAGCATATTAATATTTACTTATAATAGTAAAATTATTTTAGAAAGTACGGTAATATTTTTTTAGATAAAATTTGGCACGTTTGTAATACGTTCAATACATCACTTAGAGCATCGTTATTATTCAGTACACATAGTATTAGGAGCACAATTACAAAATAATTATATGTTTTAATCTGCAATTAAATGAGAGATTAGAATTAAAAATAATAATTTATAATATTTTCCTGATACATTCAATAGATTTTACCTTCGATTAAAAGGAAATTATTTCATGAAGATTTCATTATTAAATTTTGATTGAAATAAAGTTTAAAACTAATATATAGAAAATAATTAGGGATTTTGCTTCGAATTTTAGTTTTGCAGCGTCATCACTAAATATCACCAAAGATATTTAATAGAATAAATTCGAATATGTTCCAATATTCGAAAATTAAAATTTAAAATAACAATGAAAAGGTTATTATGTTTGTAATATTTTTTTTGTTCTTTTTTTGCCGATAAAGATATTTCTAAACCGGTTTTTTCAAAAGTTCATAATTTCTAAATAAAAGTCAGTCGAGATATTTCTCAAGTCGGTAAAATGGGAAGCATTTCTGTATGCAAAGGCATAACAATTTTTGTTGCACGCGCAAATTATACGTATTAATACGTATTGCACGAATAAATTTGCAAACTGTAAAAGTTATAAATGCTTGATAATATATATAAATTGTAACGATGTTTAGAAAAATTAGTTATAAAGTATCTTGGTTAAGAGTTTTATTTCGATAAAGTTTAATTAAGTTTTATACCATACCACAGTTTAATAAAGTTTTGAAAAAAACTACCACCAACCATGATGATTTTAATTTCATTTAATGGAGTCAAATAAGTAATTCAATAGAGTTGAATTTCATATAATAAAGTTTTTGGTGTATTTTATAATTATAAATTATTAATCGATGCTTTTTGGATTTTATGATTGCAATTTAAAATTATTAGTTAAAAGCCAATTATTAAATCTCAATGATATTCAGGTTAATATATTCATTTTTCACTCTACTCAAAAGCGATGACAAGTGAGCTACGTAATTTGATTGTATTCATATAAATAGTTTTCATTTAAAAAACTTAAAAAATCACTACGTTTATCACAGAAAAATGGTCAGTTACTTATAAAAGAAATTTAGAAGAGCGTTACACTAATGTGACAGTGAGTAATTTTAAATGCTATTTTTTTTAAAAAAAACTAAAAGAAAATAACAAATGAAAAATAATTATTGGTTTTAATAACCAGAAAAACTCGTATACACATAAGCAGAAAAGTAGATTCGAAAAAACGACCTTGGTGTAATTTTAAATAAAACTAAACAATATTGTTTTTGTAAAAAACTTGAGAAGTTTCACATCCGTAAAAAAAAAATTATACGCGCTCATATATGAGTAAACCAACTCAATACTAAGCAAAAATGAATTCATTACAATGGTTTAAACAATAAAAAAAGAACACCCTTTGAAACTTTTATAAGGTTTAGCACTTGTTTTGACAAGTTTAATTAAAAAACTATGATATTGGCATTATCTATATTGTATTGATATTATTAAATTAAATTAAATTATTATTAAATTAAAGACTATTGTATTACATTATCAAAGCTATTGTATTGACATTATCTTACTTTCTTTTTGATTTACCGCTTCAATTATTTTTATTCTTTTTTATTTTGAATACGATTTATTTTCATTTTTAAAGAAAAACACAAGTTAGGTTTCTTTAAATTTAAAAAATGAATGAGCCTAAATAAATGATTTCTGAATGAACTTAAATTTCATTTTTCTACTAAAACTCTAATTATTTCTATCATTGGCTATTTTAATTTAATTTACATAAATTATGAAACACAAGAATAATCTTAAATTTACTTTTAATTTAAGCGAGATAAAAAGTATTATGATTTAAAATCCATATTCCTAAACTTAAAATCTAATTGTCTTAAAAACGTTTGTTGCATTTTATGCAACAAACAAATATTGCATTTATGCAATAGACAAATTTAACATAAAATGTCTGCCATTTTATGTTAAACTATTTAAATGTATTTTCACAATGATACTAATTTAAACAATATATTGATATAAATATTTATATCGATAAATATAAAATTGTTGTGTCCAAGAATGTTATGCATAACATCTGTACTTCAACGCATGTATCAATGAAACTTCGTGACTCAGTAATTATAAAAAAATATATTTAATTTACCTGACGCTCGCATAATATACATCATCATTTTACTAAATAACAATAACAAAGTTTTCATTAAGAATAAAAATAACAAAATAAATTCCTTAAATTATCTTAAAACACGTTTTGTATGCATAAACTTTTAGCAAATAAAGGAAATAAACTTTTCATTAAGGAAGTATGTTTTGTTAACATTTCCTTAATTTTATAAAGTAGTGTGTCTGATATAATATGTAATAAAGTTAATGTAACTTAGTAAAACAAATGAAACTCTCCTCGACTGTTAAATTATTCCATTAAAATAAATAATTTAATGTAAAACAAAATTTCAAAGAAATGTGTTGCTCGTTGGTTCTAAATTTAAAGTTTCGGTTAACGTGTTAAATATATTTAAATAAGCAATACTGTATAGGATTATTAATTACTACTTATTAAGATTATATATATTATTAATTTAATAAATATTTTTCCAGGTAAGATTTATAATTAAGTCATAAGTAAAATATATATATTTTTTGCAAAATACATTTAAATTTATTTCATTTAAAAGTCAATAATGTAATTAATTACAACCAGTTCAATAATTAAACAGAAAGTATTATTTAGTATGGATTACAGAATTCAAATGAAATTGTAAAAACTGTTTTTACCTAAAATAATTTTAATTTCTAAGTATGTTTGATTATATATTCATGTATCTAACAAAATACAACAGCTGGATATAATATAAATAAGCTGAAAGAAATATAAATTCTTTCTACCTTCTTGATTTCGCTATTTTTAAATAGTTCGTAATGAAATCACTTCAAGTGACGTATTGTGGGTGTGATTGGTTGATGAAATGGGGCATTTCGCTGATTCAAAACTAAAACGACACTTCTACACTCACTTCTAATCTTATGTCAATGAGAGTTGAATGCAGAAGTGTCGTTTTAGTTTTGAACCAGCGATTTGTTTACGTTAGTAGCTGTTCTTTCCATTTTATTTCGAGTAAGTCAAGCCCGTCAAGTATCAAATCTCCTAATTGACACATTCTTTCACAAAGATTCTTTCAGAAAGATTTCAATTCTTTCACAATATTTTTCTCAGTTAGCACAAAGACAGGCACGAAGCCATGTGGAACACAAACTAATTATGCATCGAAATTTCCAGGTACACAAAACAAAAATATGGCATGGTTGATATAAAATACATAAACAAATAAATCTAAGTTAAGTTACAAACATAGAGGAGAAAGAATTTTATTTCAACAAATTGGATGCCCTATACTGCGCTGTATTTAATTAACTTCACGTTAATTAACTTGCGTGGAGAAATTTAGCTGAGCTTTAACACTCCATTTTGCATTTAAATGATTAGCTGGCGCTGACGTCATGGGTCACATGTGTGAGTATCAGTGATCTTCTCCTTGAAATGCAAGTACCCAATTAAGATTATCGATCCAATATTTTAAAAATAATGAGAACTCAAGCATTTATTCATTGTTTCCTTTCAACATTACAGAATAATTTTCTTAATAATAATACCATAGCCCTTTTCTCGGTTTCAGTTTTTAGCCATGAAACTAATGTTAAGTTACTTTCCTTAAATGAAAAACATAACTGAAACTCTAGGGGAAAGAACAGTTTAAGTCCATGAAAGCTGATTTTGAGAAAAAACGAACGATTTTGAGAAAAAAAAAACGAAATGCATGGGCAGGAACCGCTTTTCTTTAGCGTGGCTTATCTTCACTGTTTATTAATTCTTGAGGATAACCAATTTCCCACGTTTTGGATTTCATATTTCTCCAAATTTAACAGATGCAATGCACTCGTCATTTTTCATTAAAAAAATGGACAGAAACCGTTCCTCTTTGAATTTCAGATTATATTTACTCAGGTCCAATAATTTTTAGTAAAGTAATTTTTTTTAATGTATGCAATTCTTTTGAGTATATTATGTTTTTAGCAATACATCATTTTTCAGATGAAATTTGTTTAAGTTCAATGGTTCTTACTTAAAATATTAGTTCTAAAATAAACCATCTAATAATTTTGTATAAATTTGAAGCAAATGCTTAAATTTTCTTACTCAAATTCCTCAGAAATTAAAAGACTTGGAATTAAAATTTAAAGAAACAAAAAATGCTTTAGCATGTTTATCTAATATGCACGATATAAAGTCCTTTTTTTACTATTAAATTGTACAATTCTGCTCCCTGTTTGCTTCACTCACTAACCACCGAGATT